TATAACTGCATATAATATTCCAGTGGAATCTCCCTCTCTCTCTCTCTCCCTCCCTCCCTCCCTCCCTTCCTCTCCCTCTCCCTCTCCCTCGATCTCTCGAGCAAAGAGAACAAAAATTTTATAACTCCTCCATCATCAGGCTTCCAGAGGATGATATGGCAGCTAGAATATATTTTTTAAGCCACTATTCATACTATGGCAAACATGACATTACCCACTTATATCATTCTACATTCGGCAGAGCACTCCTCATTAAGAAGCAACCCAGTTTAGTATAAAGGTATTTAGTTATCTTTCCAGAAGAACAAACACGGCTAAGCTTTAATCCGTACCCTAGTTGAACATGCTCCAACACTTTGTTTATGAATCAGGACTTGATTATGCTATAAAAAGCAAATAAGACAACCTGAACTAGACTATAAAGGTAAACATAGTTGAACCCTTACCTGTTGAATTCGATAGGCCTCATTATTCTGAATATGAATCTCATTCTGCAATAAAGAAGGAAAAATTCCATAAGAAAATGCATTTTCAGAAACTAGAACCCTAGATGCATTAATGCATAAACAGAAACTAACAATTATACATATTAAGTAATTAAATTAACTAGCACTGAAAATGCATAAAATCAACAAAGCAATTATTCATACTATTTATCAATCTAATAAAGTTGATAATTATTGAGAGCTTGTCAAAAACATATTGATAGCAAGAGCTTTTCAAAATTGCGTTGCAGGGAATATTGCCAGTTTCAATTTTTATATTGGCTGTGAGTTGTGATGACCTCTGTCATTTCTAGGCCTAAAAATTTGCATCAGCACTATGGCAATTTTCCACATGAATATCCATCTTTCGACTTAATCCTGTTATAGTTGTATACCGAATTGGATATTTCCGCAAGTCTTATGGAAACATAACAGAATTCTTTTCATCCATGTTATAGGATATAAAAATAAGATAACATGTGATTTTTTATAAGGAATATTAATTCTTATAAAAAGTTTTTATAAAAATTAAAATATTAATTCTTTTCAATTTTTATAAGCTAATATGTGATTCACAAAGATATACTGTATGATTGCATTCACATCACATGTGCAGTTGTGTGCTCAAACGTTGTCACAAAAATAGATAAGAGTTAATAAAGTACAAGACGGAAGGAAACATACAAAATATAAAAATAAGGAGAAATATGGACCTAGAAATATATATATCTTCTAAATACTAACATAATGCATGCAGATAGAATGGAAAATGATTAAGAAGGTAAAAATCTTTTACACAAACTAGCCACTAAAAATTTCATGGCAGGTCACTAAAGTTCTGATATTGCCACGATACAGAATTCTTCACCAATTTGAAAAGGGTTTATCATTATTAAGAGTTTTCTAGACTTCAAATTATTTCCATAATCAAACACACTTTGATGCTAGAAGGCATCAACCATGATGATGATTATGAAATGTACTTATTACATGTAGGATGTTGCACCACAGCGATCACCCTTCTTTGGTCATTAGAGATTGCCCCAACACAGTATGTACATTGAGATTTAGTCTTCAATGGTTTATATATAGTATCTCACTTCATCCTAATATATAAGAAGGAAAAAATGAGTATGAGGTGGCGACTCATTTTGCTAAATAAGCTATCAAGAGATAGCCGTGTGGTGAGGTCCGCCTTGCTAGTCACATCAAAAGGTATGGACCTCACCACTCTATCTCTTAGTAGCTCATTTAGCAAAATGAGCCGCCACCTCATACCCATTATTTATTTCCATATAAGAAATAATGTATTTATTTCCAGTCGAACACAAGGTGGTAGTTCCAAGAAAGGGAAAAATGAAATAAACATTGATTCTACAGATAATATACTAAGGAGCAGCCAATTTATCATGACAAAAACTCACCATATTGACAAATATTCAAGGGTAACCCAGTAAAAAGAATTTATACACATTTAACTTTCAAAAATTATTAATAAGAAAATTTGAAGGTAAGGTATATACCTCAAGTTCATGAATGATAGCTGCAGTTCTCCAACCTGCTTTTGAAGGTCCTCTTAGGTCACTAAACAAATGGTCACCAAAATAGATCACCTAAATCCATAATATAAAAGAAAGTTAAACTCACAAGAATGGGTAGGCGCATCAAAAACAAAAGGAGAGAAAAACCTAAAGAGCTGTGCTTTAAATGGTAATAATCTAATTGATGCATTAGGGTTCAAATTGAAGACAAATGTAGTGATGATACTATATTGATTTGGTCTAGGAAAAAGAATAAAAAAAAAAATTGTTGGAGATGGAGCTACACAATCGTATTTGATTAGAACTTCTAGAAGATTTTTTTTTCCTTCCAGATTTGTTATTTAACTTTATTTGGGTTTTAGACAGTATTTTAAATATTTAGAAAATCTGTTGGTATATTTTAACTATTTGGTATACGTAAGTAGCCTTAACAATAAAGGGAAATCTTTTTAGATATATCTTAGATTTAAATCTTTTCAGTTCCTTTCTAGATCTAGGTGAGGCTACAACCACCTATATCAAGAAAATAATTTTGATATCTATCTCTAATAGTTCTTTGAAAGTGTTTAAAGATTCAAACAACTATGTCAAGGGTCTCCAGGATAACCAACAGCTGGATATCAGCTAATAGGAAAACAAAATAGAGAACACAATAACATGCTTCAGTTATCGATGAGCACAGTTGGGTAACAAGGAAGGAAAATATTGCCCTCCATGCAAACAGTTGATGTTGATTAAAATTAGCACATATGTTTATATAATAAACAAGAAAGCCTAACTAAAAGGGCAATTCCTCCTGAAAAGAGTTCCCTTCCATCAGATAAAAACAAGCATACAAAGAAGCCAAAGTTAATACCTCTGGTCCCTTCCACTTTGTAATTTCCAAAAATGATTTTAAGCAACCATGATAATAGACTTGATTTGGAAGAAACCTATCAACTGCAGTAAAAGCTAAAGTATCCTTCTGAACGTCATAGCACCTGCAAGAATACAGTAAAGCAAAAGTTTAGTCATACAAATGGAATATTACTTCATATCCAAGGTTATCGATAGCGGATAGCGTCGCGTAGCGGTGAGGCATCGCTAAGGCTATTTCGGGCTATTGCGGTAAAATATCGGTAAAAAGCGCAAAGTCAAATAGCGGTCTAATTTAGATATGTATAAACACTAAAAAAAGTTAAAGAAAAATCTAAGAAATCTAAAAGTACATATTGGATGATTTAAAGAGATCCTAAACATGAAATAAACATGTAAAAATATCACGTAATACCGAAGATGACTGGAAGAGTCAAAAAGTCGTCGTCTTCGAGAAGAAGAGCTTAGCGGTGACAGGACTGCCCTAAGAGGAGCTCACGATAAAGGAGGTGAGAAGAAGTATTAAGGTAGGTGCCAGAGGCTATGAGAGGTGACGAGAGTATGTTGAAAATCACAGGAGACGGTAGAATGCAATGGTCAATGGTTGAGTTTAATTTAAAAAAAATAAACCTCAAACCGCTTTTAAATAGCAGTCAAAAAGCAAATTTCGAATGCAATCGCTCACTATTTACCGTTATGACACACTATTGGCCGTTTTTGCGAACAGACATATTCTGCAATATGTCACCGCTATTGCGCGATAGCGTAGCGGACGATAGCGTCGCAGGAAGGGACCGCTAATGCTATTAGCGCCGCTATTGCGGGACTATTTACCGTTATTTATAACAGTGTTAATATCTTGAGATTAACGAAATTACCTACAGCACTTTAATCAAATTAGGAACATTGGCCACACGTAAGGTGGATGGTTCTCCTTTGCTAACCAAAGGTCTGAGGTCAACCCTTAACACAAATGACCTTGGTGGATCTGACCAACCTTCATCCGACTCAATCTGTGATTTTGTTCATACCCGTTGTGTCAGCCTGAGATCATTCTCGTGGGTAGGGTGAATATGCGGATAAAGTGAAATGAAGTCGCAGAACTGATCTTGAATGATGCATAATTGGGCAAATCTTGTGTGTAAATAGATTTGATTTGGAGATTAAAATTGGAAGAAGCAAAGGCACATGTGATATGAAAATTGAGTAGGTTAAGGATTTGACAGGGTTAGGGGTGGCCACCAGGTCAGGTTCGGACCTGAACCTGACTGAAATCTAACCTGAGCATACAAGTTTAAGAAATATTAGGAACAGCTCTGTACAGCACGGGCAGGTTTTGATATTCTTCAAAAACCCGTTCGAACCTATACCACGAGCCTATCCATATACCTAATATTGTAAATTTGCAATGCATATGAACATGCCACGTGCAAATTTGTATATACGATACATACACTACATGAAATTTTATCAATATTATATTTAAGTTTGTAGTTTTAAATGGCATAAATTGAACTTTCACTTTGAAAGAGAAATCAGACATGATTATGCATATATCTCTATTTAGCAAATCATAGCTAATTTGCATCATCAGGCCAATGCATCTGAACCTGAAACGCAAAAATGGAGGAACCCAATGAATGCCTTTTAGTTCCAGAAAACCCTCCCAAAATTTTGCATTTGCGTACAAAGCTTTCCCAAAACGCACATGGGCTAATGAGTGAATATCAGACATCCCATTGTGGGCTTTAGGTCCAGATTTCTGGACCAACTTAACCACGAGACAAACCAAATTCAGTTACAATCGTAATTTTGTAGGGGAGAAAACGCTAACTTCATTTTGAAGGGGTTGGATTGAGGGAACTCATCTGGGCCCAACTTGCTAGTAAATGGAAAATTTGTTGTTTAAAGTGCGGAAAACAGATACTAAAACTGCAACACGTCCTTTATTTCCAGGGAAAAGCACAAGAAATCAAGGATCATGAACAGTGCTAATTCCCATAGAAAAATGACTATTATTTAAACTTTCTAAAAATGTATCAAGTTTGCAAAGAGTTACATCTCTGACTCTCTCTGTCCGACTTAGAGAAACAGCATGAAAGGCTTAAAGAGAAAATATAATAATTTTTTTTCACTGCATTTCATTAGACATAAGATCAGGGAAGGAATACACAAGTTCTAGATAGAAACCTGAAGGGGTGTTCAGAAGTGTAGAAGCTTGGTTTATTAGCTCGAGCAATCACCACATCAAAGAGTTCCCTCCATGAGTTTTTCTCACCATGCTCCTATTGGAAAAAAAGTGACAGGGTATAAGGAATTCAGAAAAAACCACCATAAAGATCAATGCACAGACTTAGTCAATTCAAGAAGAAAAATGTTAATATAACATTATGAAAAAAAATGATATCTCCAAGATAAACAAGAAGGTGTGAAAATTTAAAGATGCACCAAGCATGATTGCTTGATTATGTTAAGGAGAACTAGAAGCAAAGAGTTAAGTTAGATATAAAGACAAATATCAAACAATATGCTTTATAAGCATAATTTTACACAACTAACAATATATGAACCAGGCATGTAGTGAAAAGTGCATGTCAAGCAGAAAAATAAACCTCACAATTACAAAATAATTCTCACTTTAACTTCTTTCCTATTTCAGTTACACTTCACTAAATCTTTACTATAATTCGAAGTGTCTCTGTCTGTGTGCATGTGCATGCCACCTACTCTCTTCTCATGGATTAAAAGATTATGGAGAAACACAAAGAACTTGTCACTTTCATAAAACTATTTCATTACATGAGTTCAGTCATGAGTTCTCTGGATTTGATTTGTATTATTAGTTAGTCTTATTTTTATCTTTTTATATGTTATTCTTATCTTTTAGGTAAGACGAGACTATGTTAGAGACCTATTTGGTTTGTTTTTATTAGCTAGTTGAGATATGAATTATTAGATTTTATCTAGTACTCGGTTGGATTTGAGTCTCCAATAAAAGAAATTTAGGTAACTTGAAAAAGTCATGATTTGTTACTTGAGAATTAATG